GCCCGATATTTCGAAAAAGATAAATTTTTTGAAGAACTTTGACCATCAATTGCAGAGGAGCCAGACATTTTTTGTTAATAAAAGTTAGGTCAGATTCTCTTCTTTTGGTCCAAAGAATATCGCAGTACCCTTTTGATCATGAGCTTACGGGACATTCTGTATAGTAGCAATCGCAGGAGACTTGTTTCAGCTCATTTTGCGCTAATCGGGAGACTAAAATTGTAGTTACTCTCATCACTTTATGGCTACTGCTGTTGTTATTAGCCACACATTTTGCAGTTTCATAAAAATTCATAAATGAGAGTCAAAACATTGTCACATAACTTTGTCTTGCCCTGAGCATTCTCTAGAACAAGAAACATTAGATGTATCCCGACAGCGTTCAGCCACCCCGTACCTAAAATAAAGTCTTTGAAATTGAATACATATTGAATTTTTTAAAAATTTTAATTAGTGGATTCACCTTACAGAACTCGATGACTGATAAAGAATAAAAAGAAAGTACAAGAATAAAAACCGCGTTTTTGAAGGACTGATACCTGACCTTATTCTCTTTGTAATATGGAGCAAATTGATCACACTGTCATCGATCGCTTGCTTCGGCTTATTTAAAGGACATAAATCAATCAAACTTATTATAGCCTTCCATGCCCGCTCTAACTCTAAACAGACAACGGGGGAATTATTCATGAACCCCATTTAGACACTTATGCAACTTCCTGGCATATTATTAGGAAGTACATTGTTAGCGCGGGCTGAAGATTTGGCTTTGTTGCCCTTTGAATCGCAATTTGTCCTAATATGGTCCCAATTCGAGTTGAACTATTGAGCTGATAAAGCAAACAACAAACAGAATTAGTGACACCAAAAAAAAATTACAAACTATTGAATAGGCCGCATGCAATGGAATATGCCAGAATAAAGGTGTCTGCTAATGGAAATGTTATCGATTGACCCGCAGTAATAAAATAGTCGTTTGTAGTCCATGACAAAAAGTTTATTAAATTCGCTGCCATTTTTCATTAGAATCCTGTTCTTTGTACTACGCTATCTTTACAAAGGCGGCTTCTTCAAATACGAATAATTAATAAAGTTGCACTGTCAAGGCATTTAAAAGCAGACGCAGAAAAACATAAAACCCTTGTAGCGAAATAGACGGCTAATTTTTCTGGGGCGAATTTATTGGCCCGTTTTATACGGAACTAAAAATTTCATGACGATCTAAGGAATTTAAATCCGTCTAATTTCTAAGAACGAAGGAAATATTTAATAAAAAAATGCACAATAAGACGAAAGTCTTGGCTTACCCATTTAGGAGCATATCGCTTCGGTTTTTCACCCAATAGTTTATTGTATTGGGAAAAGCTTCCACATAGCATTCGAGTTGAACGTCGGTTTGGACTGGGGCTCCCAGAAGCTGATTTGGGACTTTAATCGTCGGTGGAACTGAAAAAGAACAATGAACAAGAACGTTAATCCTAATAACCTCCATTGCTCAGCAATTTTATTTTCGAAGTAGTCATAAAAAGCGGCAATCAGGGCCGTTAGTTATTATGGAGAACATGGAAACCATAATAAGCGCCAGCTATAAAAATTGTTAAAAATGCAAATTATTGCCCGATTCAAGCATTCATTAGTTCTCCTTAAGGGACCATAAATCTGGAAGATGACGCCTAATTTCATTATCGATGCCTTGATGTTATGCGATGTATATTGTCAACGTATTTTTAGAGCCTCATCATATATTCTGAGGGTGTTTTCAAATTAAATCAATTGCAATTTAATGCCGCGGCAAAATGTCCTTGATGTTTCGTCGAAACGCCGACAGACGATCAATTTTTTTGACGCGTCATAAGGACATTTCGAATTTCTGATTATTGGCTTTTTAAGACACAAACCCCCGAACAAATAACCCCCGAGCTTATTAATTATTGCGTTAATTAAATCCGGAACTGGGTTTGACGCACTAATTAAGTAGATTTGACTCACTAATGAGCTTGGTGCAAATTGCAATTTTTTTTCCAATTTCAACTGAACCTGAAGTTGGTGGGGCTTTTAGCAAAATCCTCGATGTTGAGTGCAAAATGTTTACTGAATCCCGGTATAAACCGCTCATTAGCTATGCTAGATAAGGGCTAAGTATCGTGCATGAAAACCATAATAATATTAATAAAAGCAAATGGGGCAAGGAACGTTTATCGAGTTAAATAATTGCGGTACTTTATTTGAATTATTGTTCACTCACTTCCTGCCTTTACAATGGAATTAAATAAAGTCCGTGGATGACTGGAAGTGGTTCTTGACGGTGGTATCGACGGCGAGAATGTTTATCGCAGTTGCGAACGAAACGTCGGGAGTCTGGCCCACGGCTTATAAGCCCGATAAACTTTTCAAGCGACAATGGAATTATAAACGAGTAGAACAAGGCTCAAAAATACCAAAATCCGCAATGATGACGTCAAAAGTCATATGAAAGCGAGCTTATTAAATGCTTGAATTGATCCAGGAGTTATTCTCGTCGTCGTTAGTAACCAAGTGAACTTTGCGAAAGTTTCCCGTATTATCCTTTATTAAAGCCTTGAACCTAACGAGGAAGTTCCCGGAAATAAAGTACAGTAATTAGCGGAGAAGTGTTCTGAAGTTTCACCTGCACACGAGGAAAATATCTCTTTGGAGCTACCGCGTTGAATTTCCGGTTCTTTTATAATTCACCAGTCAAAGTGCATTCTTTTCTCGCGCTCTGCTGGTGACAATTAATGCAACTCGCAGGTGAAAAATAAGGTTTGAGCAGGAAAAGGGCGCGAGTAAATCTGGCCTAAATTGAAAATTGCAATCCCCTAATTTATGGCCTGTAACAGCGCGTAATAAAAAATGATTAAGAGCCTGTTTGCTTTGTTTCTAATTTATGTTCAAGGCATTGCTTAAACTGGATTTATTCGGCCGTTTTGTTGTAGATGTATGAACGAGAATTAGGCTTGCAGTTGTCGGGCACGATCGCGATGAATTCCACAGAAACAGGAAAGTTTGAACGCGAATTCAAGCCGGTTATTAGCGGTCTTTCTACTCACTGGAGAGTCTATTCTGCCGAAATTTTCAACCGGAAATTTATCGCAGGGCCAATAAAATTAACAAAGTTTAATGAGTTTTGGTTGCGGTCTAACGTTGTGTATTTCACTTAATCTTTATAAGCCAGCAATTAACCCGATTTATTTGCTTTAATAAGCCACACTTTTCTAGGGCAGTTTGGGTGTTTGATGCATACGAACAATTCCTAATTATCGGTTGCGCCCCCAAGTTTGCTGAGTATAATTCGCCAAAACTGGGCCTCTAATTAAATCTCTAAGCTCCACTCGGAATGGGTATTATAAAGGAACTCGGACAAGTCGGATATAAACTCCCAAACTTGACCGGCCACCGAAGAGTTAACGTCTGTTGGCAATTTGATGCCGAATCACCTAATTATTAGTTTAGTTCAATTCTGAAGTGTTTTAACTAGCACATGGTTGCAGTTTTTTGCGCAAATTGCCTGTAAATGCATGACAATTTCCGCGATTTATCTCAATACATATCAGCTGGTGCCAAAAACCGCACACCATTAGTTAATTAGTAGTCCAGCACTGTTTCTATGATTTATTATATCACTCGGGTCTATAAAGGGAACTCGCACGAAATCCGAACACATCCATTGATATGACGGCTGTTTGGATTGTATTTTGTGTCGGCTAACAGGATGTGGTTTACAAATTACAAGACACAAGCTTGTAAATTAACAGCACATTTCTGTTCAAGTTCAAGATGGATTGCTGTTAATGCTTTCACATCGGAAATGTGGGTGCAGAATGCAGTTTCAAATCCGCTGATATTTTCTGTTTTGATATCCGGTTCAGACCTGGAGTGAAACTCTTTAATTGTCTAAAAATGGCAGTAGATTCGACCCTGTATTCCGGTCTTCGTGAAGACTATTTGGCGACTGGATAGGATTTTAAAAAGTCAGATTTTCAGTTTAGTTTCGTGTAAAAGCCATACTTACAGTTAACGTATAAGGAGACTCGCTTGCTCACAGCTGGTGGAACATCGTTGCTGGCTATGCAGAGATAAGAACCCATTTGGATTCTGTCGACTTTCCAGAAGGCAAGGTTGCTTCCTCTGAAGTTGTCAGCTGGAAAATCAGCCCCAATAACATTAAAATATCTAGCATCTTTGTTGATAAACCGTGCCTAATCACGTCTTTTTTTGCTTTCAAAACGCTTTTTGCCCACAGGTTTAGTCATTATGAAAAGTCCTTTCGTACTCACATTCATGAACGGATGTTCCGCATTTTTAACGAATTTCAACGATTTCAGAGTTTTTAAATTGCAAAAGTTTTATTAACGCCCTGCTCGTCTAAAGCGAATTTGAGAGCTCAGGAAAGTCGCTTGAAAACGGTCAAAGATGGGCAAATGCCAGTAGAAACGATTAGAATTGCGTACTCCAAAGTGCTTTCAATTCATATATTTTATGCGCAATTTAATATGAGAAAAAAGCAGCAAAAACCCTTACAAAACGACAGCAAATCCTCTGAAGAAAGTCATCAGCAGCCAAACATTCGCAACAAGTAAAACTCCTGGCGAAATTGCTTCAGTTCTGAACTTCTACTCTAGATTTTATGTTATATAAAAGACTCTTTCCAGTCTGGGCGCTAAATAGCGCGCGAGTTGATATCACCTGAAGGATTACCCAGAAGGAAAACGGCGTTAGTATAGTTTCAGCTCTCTTATAATATATGCAAACGATACTTACGGCGTCGAGAGGCAAATTTGCCCGTGTGACGCCAAAAGTAACAATGATATTACCGTCCAAAGTAAACGACATTACGCGTTCCAATTTACTTTATGTAAAATGGATAATCCTCCGCCAACATTCATCCACATCGCATCCAGAGCAAGCGGCGGGCAATTATCTAGTATTTTGCTAAACCAGCAACTCAAAAAAGCCTCTCGGTCAGTTTATGATTAAATTGACTCGAGAACTTGGCAAACGGATGCGAATTTGATCGGATCTGGGGCAGCAAATGAAAACATCATACCTTCGAAAGTAACCGAAAAAGTTGCCATTTTGATCCGAACTCGCAGCCGAAAATAAACCGGGAATATCGACGTAATTTAAGTCGGTCTGTTGCTGCCAAGCTACATGCGAGCTGATAACATCAAAATTCGCGAGACTTTCCGGGAAATAAAACCATTCAGTCCAAGCCAGCTCACCTTTGGTGAAGTTGTGCAAACTCCTTCGGATGAAAATCGGGTGGCCGTCTTCCTGCTTCCAAAGCACCCGTGGGGGAGGATGACCGGACGCCTTGCACCACAAGGTGGCGTTTTCCCCTTCTAATGTTGAAATATCCCCACTGGTGTCGTTATTCAGAATATCCGGAGGAACTAAACAGAAAAACTTGCCAGTATAATTGCGACCAGTTTTTTCTATAGGGGAGGAAATTTGTGGGTTTTTGCCCAAGCAAATCGGTATCAGAAGGCCACAATTGATCGCGAAAGGCTTTTTATTTGCGAACAGCCACACGTCTGCGTACATGACGAGAATAAAGTGCAAGAACATGTATTCGAGCTTTCCTACATTAATGATGTCCGCTTTGGAACATTTTTATCTAGACGGGGTATCGACAGTTTTTGATTTACGACTCCTTTGAACGGCTAACGAATCCAACAAGCTTTGCCCATTATTGTTTAAATTCATTCGCTTTGAGTTCAACGGTTTTTTTACTAACTTCTTTTTGGGTATTTTGCCTCAAAAATGTTTGTCTTTAAAAGACAGAATTTCCTCACGTCTTTTATTACAGATTGATAAATAGGGCTCCTATTTCGCAATAAGAACGAATTGTTTATCAAAAAGTAATCAAGAACTATCACCTAGAGGGTATCCTGCGACACACTTAGGCTCAAGCTGTAAGAGAAAATTCCAATTAGTAGAGAAATTAATTTGAAAAATTACCTTGACGTTTCGATAGCTATTTTCTGCTATCGTTATCAAACGATCCTAAATGAACCTAAAAAAGAGTATGTTAATAAATTGTGTAACAATAGTAGGAATTGAATTGAATTCCCACGAACAAAACAAAATCAAAATAAACCTATTACGAACCTTTCCATTCCATTTATTCCTGGACTTTCAGATCAAATTAAACGAGTAGGTAAAAAATTTAATATTAGGACTATCTTCAAAACTGAAAATACAATTAGAA